GTAAGTAACATAAGCAACTCAAAGAACTTGAATCAAAAAGTGAAATAAATTATATTATTGAGGACCATTTTCCATTCCAAAGTTTTGCATAAAATTTAAGCATCAGTAGATATCACTCATAGTAACACCGGAATAAATGCTTAACCTAACAAATCAAAATCTTTTAAAAATATAATTCAGGGTTTTTTTATTATAAGCATGTGAATAAGAACTGTTAAATAAAGTATATTTATATAAAACTTCAGGCTACATTTTTTATCAACATATGAGGGTGAGGTAAATACAGGTAGGAGTGTCTGGAATCATGGGAATTACTGAAAGTGCAAAAAAAGCTATACATGTTTTCAGTTTTCCAAAGACCGTACATTTATTTAAAAGTCGTTTTAGATTTAATGTCGCACAGATATTTTAATTTGTTGTGTTGTTGTAATTGCAATTGTCTTCTTTATAGCATCTATATACATCAGCTTCTAAGTTTATTTGCTTTGGTAGTGCACCCAACCATGAATGGAAATGTTAGGAGCTGTATCCAAACCAAGTAGAATGTATGATAAAATCCTACTGAGATGTGCAGAGAAGGGAAATACAGCTAAGGCTGCCACTCCTTGGCAAGCACTGCAGCCTGGTATAAAGCTTGGTTCTCTGAGTCAGTGTTTTTCTTTCCCTCTGAACTCCATGGTTGAGAAACTAGTCAGCAATGCTGCATAAAAACAGCAAGAAATTCTGGAATTTATGCAAGAGAGTATAGTCTTTGCAAACCCAGTGGCAAGAATTTGATGAGTCTAGACTGCTCCATATCACATTGTGTTTGTCCTGCGTAACTGGGACTTAAATGCTCATTATGTGCTTCAATCTAGATATGAAAATACTGATTTCTTCCTTTAAGATTTTAAGGTGACTGAAACAAGGTCAATATGAATTAGAAATCTTTCTCCAGATTGGTAAATAAAACAAGGAGGATTTTTAGGTAACATTGTGGTAAACAGCCTTTAAACACTGGAAAATGTAGTAGCAGACATCCACAAGACAACTTTGATGAGATATTCAGCAAACACAAACGAAAAATTTAGCAAATTATAGAGGGATGTGAGAGATTTATTTTTTTTTTCAGAAAGCACGTGCATCTATTTGCTCTTCTATAAATATTGATTCTATTAAAAAAGATTACCTAGAGGACTTTTGCAGGGAATAGGGTCAGAAAAGCATGATCTGGTCTGAGGATTTTATTGAACTCAGAATGAAATGCTGGCTATTAAAAAACCAACAAGGACTGTGAGGAGTTAGGCATTGGAAACAGATGCATATGTTTATGTAGAGTCATTGCTCCACAACATGATGGATCACTTGTTAAATGATAAGTGGTTCGGAGAACTGGTGAAAGAACTCAAGCGTCTTCTACATTGTCGAATTTCAGGCACAGCCCACTGAGACTTATTGATCAAGGACTGTTACAACCATAAAAAAAAATGTTCTCTCTCATGCTAGTAAAATAACAATAATTTGGGCTTATTCATTTCACAAGTAGAGGATTTAGTGCTGATTAGTGTGGGTAAGTTACAATATATTCATGGTTTTAGATCAGCAGTTTTCAATGCCTTTTGAACAGACCCCAAAACCTCAAATAGTTTTACATGGTTCCCACATTTTACAGAGATCCCAACCATGTGTCTTCGGCAGTGAACAGGGAAGGACACCAATGTTCTCTTCTTGAACTTTATCAGGGCATTTTTGTATCTAATGAAGCTACTGCAAAGGGACTGTTTGTTCATTCAAAGGGGAAATGGAAGACCAAGCTCTTTGGACTGCTGCTACAAGCCAGAAAAGGAAAATGGGAAGTCCCTCATGGCATGGGAGATGGATGTGGGAACTGCAAGGAGCCAAGGGGGCAGGCAGTAAATGCCCTGGCTGGTCCCAGGTAGGAAGAGTAACCTGGGATGCAAAGTTCCTCCCACAGCTTTGTGAGCATTGCAGGGGTGGGAGAGCTCAGCACCACAGCATTCTGCCTAGAAAGCCAAGAAGCAGGAAAATGACAGGGGAGGAAAGTTAGCCTGATGCCCATTTTTAAAGTGATAAAGCTTGCAGCAAGCACACAACGTGTTGGAGTGTCCAGCGACTTCTGAAACTTCTTGGATGCTGGTAGTGAGTAGGAGGTTGTCCATCCCAGCCCTGGAAAAGCATTTCTGCACATATGGCTGTTCAGCATGTCGCTGAGGGCTGCCTGCCATCACACTTCAAAATTATTAGATCAGAAGTTAGTGCTCCAATGGTATTTAGAGGGGAATTTATCTTTTTTAGGTCTAGCAAAAGCTAAAAGGATACAAGGCAGCCATCCAACTTTCAAAAATGCATGAAATTCAGTGGTTTTATAGTGCTTTTAGAAAGGAGCGGATTTGAAGCAGAGAAAGCCATTACATATCCCCCAGTTGTGTTCATTCCTCTAAACAATCATTAAAAACAGGCCAGGTTGGGGGTTTTTTTAAAGGAATGCTTTAGCTCTTCTTTATTATTAAGACTACTAATAGAAGCTGCTGCTGCTGTCTCCAAGAAAACAAACAAGCGTTTTTCAGCTCTTCCCTGAGCTTCTTATAACAAGTGCTGGTTATCAATTAGCTAGTTCATTAAAAAGTTACACATGATTTTATTGAGGCAAGCAATTCTGAATCAAAGAACCCAATTCACAGATCTAGGTTGAAGCACATAATTGGCATGTATTTTAGAATTGCTGTTAAAGCTATAAAATAGATTTACTAGGGAAGGAATGGATCCAAAAGCCCTAAAGGAAGGAATATGTTATTTGTGTGACTCAGTGTTACAAATGAACTCATTTAATACTAAAGTCTTATCTATATTAAAACAAATATCTGAAATAAATGCAAAGCTTCTTTGATTTAACTTTTTTACCAAGAAGTTATCCTTCATCTGATAAAACATAAATTACCTACAGGATTACTACATTTCTTATGCCATTACTTTCATTATAGCTTCCAAAGATGTATTTTTATTAAATCATTTAAATTTAGCTGAGAAGTTGCCAATGTGTAAGCTGTAAAACAGAATTATATAAATATGTTCACTATGTTGTTGAGATCCACTGTGACTCTGGAATTCAAGCCCCAGTTCAACAAACAGTTTTGTATGCATGATTTAGTGAGGAGCCTTACACGCTTGCAAGTAGGACATTGCTGAGCATTTGCAGGGTGAAAGAGAACAAAGTGCGTTTTTCAAAGGATGTTTTAGAAACACTGATACATTTTTGAGTTTACAAGGAGGCCAAATCTCAACACTCGAGGAAAAGAGTTTGAGTTAAGGAAACTTTATTTTAAAAGATGTGGAAAAAGATGTTACTGGTGAGTTTTTCAAGTTTTCTTTAAGAAAAAGACACTTTCGATTTTGAGCTGAGATGTATAAACAATCTTAAATATATTAAGATGTGCATAGAAACTATGTTCTGTTATAATTTGGATTGCTTGACTGCCTCAGTGTAAAAGCTTCTGTAGCTGATATTGCTGTTGGACTTTGTGTGATGGCATTGAGGTATTTTTTTCAACTATTAGCCTTCCCAAGGGATCTTTTCAGACAAAATGTTATGCACCAGCTCTTATTTGAGTGTAAGCCTATTGAATAGCATTCTTCTTTCTGCCAACTTGGCAGCAAGTTCTTGTGCTAATAAAAGAGGTTACCCCAGATAGAGATCCCAGATGTGCCTGAACTACTTTTATTAGGACTATGGAGGGACTCAGTGTTTCCTTCTGTTTTCAAAAAAAGGTGTGGGCTTGCCTTCATAATTGCCCAAAGAATTGCATCACTAGAATTTTTTCCCTCGAACTGAACAAAGTTTTAGATGTGTTAGTGCAGAAATACTGATGTTCAGAACAATGAATGCCTTTTGCCACAATACAAAGGTTGACTTGACCCTCCTGAACTCTGTGAGAGAGGACAAAATTGCTGTTTAACCTTGAGTTAAAAATACCGTGGTTTGTTATCTCATATAAATGAGATTCAGTATTGTGGTCACAATAAGTAACAATTATTGTGTCTCAGAATAGCAGTATTACCATTGGCATGTGGTATACTTGACTGTAATGTGAATTATTCCTCGAAACCATTGGTTATAAAACCCGTATAGTGATTGACTGATGTGGGGCTATTTTAGACTGGAATTGCCAACAGCAATATTATTTTTATTTTTTAGTGCTATTTGATAATTAGCAGTTTAAAAAGAAGTTATGTTGCTGAAAATTAATCTAAATATCTCCATTCTATTTACTTGAATGTGCCAGCTGCAGTTTTGAAACTGAAAGAAATAGGATCCTCTGAGATACTTAGTAAAATAATATAGTTTGTTAAACTCACTGTTGCTATCCATAAATCATAACAATAAAAAGTTTACAATCTTAAATCATAATCTTGATTTTCCTTTCAAGGCCACAAGCTCCATGTTGAAATTTTTATTGTTGTCAAAATGTGAATAGAGAAAATAAGGTTTCAATCAGAATAATTCATTGCTTGCTTTTATTGTTCATCTTATTATTGAATTATGACAAATGAATGGTGCTCTAATATCGGATCATGTCTCTGCTTGACTTTTGTTGTAATTGTGTCAGATATAAAAAAGAGAAACACATGATAGTATTCCATTTCAGATTTTCAAAAGCAGGGTTTGACTCAAACACTCACATTAGTTTCAGTGGGCTTTGGATCAGGCACAGGGTTAACAGCTTATTTTTCAAACAACTAGAAAGAGGTGTAAATGTCAAAGGTGATAGCTATACTGTGAGTTCCATAAACTACAAAAAAAGTTACTACTAAAGCTCTATTTTTCCTTCGTTTAACAGCTTCTATGAAAACAGTGTTAATAAGTATATCAGGAACAGTATATAATAATGAATCAGAGATGTAAAAAAACCCTTTAAAACTCCTTTTATATAATAATTGGAAAGTTAAAAGTGACTTAAAATCCCTGACTTCTCATGCTGTGATGTAAATTGTATTTTTTTTAGGTTCCAAATTCAAAGAGGGAAAACTGATCCAACCAGTTACAAGAGCCTGGGGGACTGTTTTAGGACTATTTTCCAACGAGAAGGGTAAGAGTATATGTTTTTAAAATTGTCAATTTTATGCGACCTTTCTTAATCACCCATTTTCCAGACATTAGATCCTCTTTATATTCCACTCCTTTTTTTGCAATTGCAAGAATTTGGCAAATGTAGCCTTACATAACGAGCACAATTTGAAAAGTCTTGATTAGTCTAAATTAGATCCATAAAGCCAATTTTGGTTATTATAATATAATATGTGAAAGACTGCACAGCTGTATAGAGACATGGGTGCAAGCCCTGTTTCAGCACTGGAGCAGGATGGCTGCACCAGTCTATTGCTGTGTCTTCACTCGTGTGTCTTGTCCTGGTTTTCCAAACTAGCTCAGGCTGAGCGTATCACTTGTTTACAAACTCTGATGGAATGGCATTCCTAGTTACCTGTGGCAGACAATGTTTTCAGGACCTCTGTAAGCAAAAGCCCACAGCTTTTCAGTTTGACAGAATATGGGAAAAAAGAGTTAAGTTCATCAGTTTCTTGAATCATACTGGTGTCATAAGGTACCACTGCTCTAAGCCTGAACTCCTCTAAGGGAGTTGGGTTCTGACCCAGAAAGGCATTTAAATATAGGCTTAATTTTATGAGCAGTCCAGTTAAAGCCAGTGACTGTAATGGGATCAATCATATGCTTAAAGTTAAGCCTGTTATCCACAGGAGCTCTTTGGAAGCTAGCCTTTAATCAAGGTAACTCTAATTAGTAAATCCCAGTTTTGAGTAACTGGCAGGCTTTCCATAAACTTTTTTAATACAATAGCGACCCAATTTTTTTTATTTTTATTTTTTTATCCATATATCACAGAAACAGTTTGGTTGGAAAAGACCTCTGAGATCATCGAGTCCAACCTATACATCATGAGTCCAACCTAAATATTCATCAAAATGGAACTGCTGTTGTATATAGTGGCGTAGATGCTGGGTATGGAGGCATCATAGGTGCAGTGAGACATAGACCTCTTGCATCCACAAGATGCACTGGAAAAACAGAGGTGAGATTAGCAGAGAAAATTAATAACTAGACCAGTTTTGGTTCTTGCAGTGAGATTTAGCTAAGCTACACTACCTAAGTACATCCACATAGAACCGGATGGTTTGAAATGAGAAATTAGGGACATACAGAGAAGTTTCATTAAGGTGTTGAAAGAGGAAGTTGCCACAGCTGCCTTTATTAGTTGTAAATCCATTTTGTTGAGAGATTAATGTTGTGGTTTTTCACTACAATAGACATTAAAAAGCTCAAAAGCTAAAAAGATTCCACACAAATGATAATCTGTGGCTTCTGAGGTTTTCTGGGCTGAGTTTATGTTAACTTGTATTGCTTCTGAGAGAAAACTATTGAAGTATTAATATTAATATTAACAATAATGTAGAACTATTTCTAAATAAAAAGCTAGTTTAAGTCAATGAAGAGGAAAACAGTATTTATCTCATCCCAATTCACTAGTATTTTTTGTATCTGGAGAGAGTCTAAATCAAGACACCTTCCAAGTTAATTGATTATTCATTGTTTCTTTTCCTATGGAACTCTTGTGCCATGACACTGGAACTAAGCCAGAATATTTTTGATGCTTGTATCAAGTTGTGAATTTGTGAGCAGGAAAAAGATGATTACATGAAGATATTATATATTTAAGTCACAATTTAGCAGTAGATTGCGCAAAGCTTCTATTGGGCAAGAGTTAAAAGGAGTAATAAAGAGTTTTACTTGTCTGTTTCAAAAGCAGTCAATAGTGATTTAAACAAAAAAAGCAAATTTCATTAATATCTGTTTTTCTCCAGGAAGTTAGGCAAATGCAGAAATTCACATTTAAACAGACAGCGGTAGTAAGCACTAGGAACAAAAAGAGATAAAAAATCTCATATGAACTATAATGTTAATTTTTGGATAAAAATAAGAAAAGAAATCAGTTAATCCTGCAAAACCTGTTCGACTCCATGAGTCTTTCATTCCTGTCTGCACAAGTTGTGTGGTTTTCTGGAGAATGGTGATTACAACTGTGAAGGAAGTGAGGGTGGAATGTGAATTATTTTAGTTTGTGGAAACCTTTAATCCTGATAACCCTTTCCTCGAGTGGCCACAAAAATACGCAGAAGACAGCCCCAAGAAAGGGCTTCACATTTAGATACTAAGCAAACAAAATCAGTTGAAGAGGTGCTCAGACTCGGGTGTTTGAACCTGTGAGGAGGGTAAAAGAAACTCATTTATGCCTCATATTTATTTCATATTGGCAATAAGACACACCCACAATGCCCACAATAAAAATATGTAAATATCTAAGTCTATAAAGAGTTTAGGCATAAACTAAAGTGAAAAGAACTAAACTAAACTAAAAAGGGTTTAGGCATCTTTCTTCAGCACTCTGAATTCCCTTTTGGCATCTGTGATTTTATGTTGAATTTACTAAAAAAAAATAAAATTAATTTATTTACTAAATAAAGAAAAACAGTGGGAAAAGAAGCGTTACTAATGGTCTGTCCCTGGAAATGTTTACATTTGGGAATATTGCTTATGCTGATTTGTACTTATATTTTTCAGTGGTAGCAACTAAGGTAAGCCAGAATGTCAAAGCCAAGTTCAGGTGAGACACTTCATCGTGGCTTAATTTATTTACCTTGTTATGTTGAGGTTAAGTATGCAGAATCAGCCTAGGAAGTATTTATTTTTATGAACACATATGCAAATGTTTCATTTGCTGCAGTGGCTCTTACTGAAAATCAACCATATTATATTACTACAGTATCACTGTAGAAATCTGGTGATTTCATGGAAAGCTTCTTCATCACAAATAACAGCCAGAATTTATTAACCACCCCTCTGATTTTGTGGTCATTACAATGAAAAGGACAGAGGAAATAATTGTCTAACCACTAACAGAACACTGTTCGTTTCAAAGAATCGGAAAAGTCCTTCATCTTTACAAAACCCTTGAAATATTTTAACAAAACAAAACAAACAAAAAGCCAAATAAACAAAACAAAACAAAAAAAGAAAGGAGAAAGTCCTACAAAAACCCAAACTGAGTATCTCTTTAGCTGGAAATAAATTTTCTTCATGGGGAATTAAATTCTTCAAAGAAGGGTCCATCCCTTGAACTCTTTTCTTGTCTTACAAGAAAATGGGAGCCACAAAACATAAAATTTAATTGAGACTCACTGAACAGAGGCTCAGTCGAGCAGAGCATTAAAGGTCACATAACTTTCTTTTAAAGGGAGGCAGAACTATTAACTTCAGGGATTTAGTGAACTTGTTTTGGGAGCATCCAGTCACTACCAATTGCACAGGAGCTGCAGTGGTAGGAGTGCTCTCAGGTGATGAGCAACCTCTGCTCAGCTGGATTTGCTAGAAGCCATCTAGTAAAGGTTCTCTGGTTTCACTTCTGAGATGATGCATGAATTGCCAGATCTTTGACAGTGAGGTAAACCCATCAGGAGAATATCTGTTTATTGGGGAGTGACAGCTTTATAACCAACATAAAAATAATCTGATGCTTATTGGGGAAAATATTTGGATACAGGATTAACTCAAAACTATTAATAGAGAAAACTTTTCATTTTCTGTAGATTCTACAAATAAGATGTGAGATTGTGTTAAATGACTGATTTTTATATCATCATGATCTTTACCGCATTTGTATTCACTTGCTTTTTTTTTTGGTAGTGACTTAAGTTGGAATTTGAAATGTAAGAATAAACCAATGTTCTAGCTGAATGTATATGTTGTATCTATATTAAAGACACATGATGTTGTGTCTCATATTAAGAATGGAAAATTATGCCCATCTGCATTGTCTTAATCTGCAGTTACAGCATTAAAATGATGGATGCTTTTATTTCAAGTCTGTAAACAACTTTGTTCTTATAAACTTGGATTTTCATGGGCTCATAATTTTAACAGTAAATGTTCTGGGTTATAGTTGGGGTTTTTGGGAGGCACTCAGTCAAGAAACCTGTTACTTTCTCATTCATTTGTTAACTTGCCTGAAATAGGAAGGGTAGTAGTGTCCTGGATTCCAGCTTTAAAATTCAACAATTCAATAAATTACAGTTTAAAGCACTTGTTAGCCTTTCTTAGAGCTAGATGGTCCTGGGAAAGTGCAAAACACAATTGTCATTCATTTGAGACTTCATTACATCTGCTGAGTTATTTGATTATTTATGTTTAATTTGCTTTGGGAAGGAGCAATTACCTCCACATTTACACAGTCCAATAGCTTTATAATTATTCCTATTTTGTTCTCAGCACCACCTTACCACTCTCTTGTACCTATAATTGTCTGTATGACCACACACACCTTTTTCTTTAATAAGCAGCACCCTGACTCATGCATTAATGGGATTAGGTTATAAAGCTGCACAAAACTTGTCAGCTATGGGTGGAGTATGTGGGAGAACAGCCAAGACTAAGCAGGAACTGGATGAGTGCAGAGTCATCAGCAAACATGCAGAAGCTGGAGGGCTCCTGGTTTATGTGATATCAGCAGCAATCATGCATCAATTAAGGAATTTGCTAACACTCTCCTTTGTCTTGCCTGGTATGTCGTGGTAACAAGTGCTTGAGAGACTGCAGCAGTGCTCGTGGGGTCTGGCTCTCCCACCTGGCTTCAGAAGACACTGCTGCTGCCAAATGCCAGCAGCTCAGGGAAGGAGACTGCCAGAGCTGGCAGCCGTGCAAGCAAGCACCAGGCTCTGGCACTCACCAACATCATCACTGACCATTCCTGCTCCCAATAAGGGTTGCACAAGATACAAATACTATCCTCCACCTGAAGCCTTCAACGAAATTTCCAGCCAGGAGAGTGTGACATTGTCAGTTATTCCAAAAATCCCTTTTCCCAGTGGGCATTTATAAAGGAGAGATTAATCTCCACTTACTGGAGACCTAAATTCTTGTGGTATTGAAAGACCAGACTTTAGACTCTGCTGTCAGTGCTTTGAGGGAAGCAGAAGTTGTAGATAAAGATGTTATTTCCCCACACACACACAGCTATCT